AAAGAGGAAAAATTAAGTTAAAGATTGGAGACCACCTGACTTATTTCATTGCATTGTCCCTGCTGCCTGTCCTACACTGGTGACTTGAGGCTGCTTCCCCAAATACTGTCAAGACAGCATTCCTTGCGCACCCAAATCAGCCACTGCTTTCTTTTTCCACCGGCCAGTGATGTAGGATCTGCCCACTGTAGGGTAGAAGAGTATGTATTTGGTCATAATGCCCTGCCTTGTCTTCTGGTTCATCCTCACACCCTTTTTGCTGCCTCCAGGGCACCTCCTCTGCCCGTGCCTCCGTTGCCTGACGTTGCTCGTGACCAATCTGCCATACTGGGAGGAAACGCTGCAGCTGGGAACTGCTCCAGCCTGCTCAGAACACAGCTTGCACCACTCTCCTCTGCCTCAGGTGAGACCCTGACCAGCATGAGTGTCTTCCATAACTACAGCATTGGCTGGTGGAGCTAGGATGTTCCCAAACACTTTAGGGAAGGTCATGTGAATGCCCCACGCCATCAGTGCAAAATGTGACACCAGGTCACTGGACAGGCTGAGAAAGTTGGGATTGATCAGCCTGGAGAAGAGAAGGTTGTGTGGAGACCTCACAGCACCTTCCAGTATCTGAAGGGGCTACAGGGAAGCTGGAGAGGGACTTTTCATCAGTGACAGGACGAGGGAGAATGGCTTCAAACTGAAAGAGGGAAAATTTAGGTTAGATATGCAGAAGAAATTCTTCCCTGTGAGGGTGGGCCCTGGCACAGGTTGTCCAGAGAAGCTGTGGCTGCCTCATCCCTGGAAGTGTTCAAGGACAGGCTGGATGGGGGTTGGAGTAACCTGGGATAGTGGAAGGTGTCCCTACCCATGGCAGGGGGTTGGAACTGGATGGTCTTTAAGGTCCCTTCCAACCCAAACTTTTCTATGATTGGAGGTATAGCAGCTCTCTGCTAATTGAGTCTGTACCAGCTATGTACCAGCATGGTGGTGCTCCTGTGCTGATGCTGGAGCCAAATTTGCAGTCCTTGTTCATGTCCTAGCCCAAGCCAGCAAGGAATTCTGAATATGACTTCATAAGGATAATTGATAGGGGCGTTCTTCCATAATAACTGTTTGACACTGGTCCTGCTGCTCTAAATGATGATGAAAGTATTACTCTGGTTATGATGTTCTTCATGGCAGCTACACACATCCCATACTCTGGTTTAGATGGAAACATTCTGGCTACAACCCGAGTCAAGGGAGGTGTGTGAGGAAGGTGCACTGTACAAACTGTTGGTGTTGTAGAGGCTCCCTCAGGTACTCCATACCTTTAAATGTCCAAGAGGGTTCCTTGGCTTCCCCAGGCAGCGCAATTTTCCATTTTGTGCAAGACCTCGAGGGAGGGAGACTAGTTGAGTTCCAGGGCTGATGCTGAATTTACTCTCAGTTGCAGTGGAGCTGGAGGTCAGTGGGGTGTGCTGTTCAACCAGGGTTCTACCTGTGCTGTTCTTAAAGGTTGATGGCAAATAAAGACAGTTTGTTCAATTGTTTATTCGTGTGTGGAGTACCAGAACATTCCCTGGAGTCAGGAATGCTCCCTAAAGCGTTTCCTATGTATGTTTACATTTCCAAGTTGGCACAATTTGAAAAGATTTCCAGAGTGATGAGAACTTCATCACTTCCTTGGGAGGGATATCCCAAGCAATATATGTGCTGACATATGGTACTAGTGTGCATTTTCCTGCTTCCCAGTGTAATTCATTAATTGGAATTTCTGCTCCCTCATTTTATTCTAAATGTACCAGTATTTAGTTATCAGTATTAAGGCCAGTTCTTGCAACTCATTTTCTAATAATGACTCAATTTTTTTTAATAGTGCTCATACCTTAAAAGTACTTTGGCACTGTAGAAAGCACCTGTAAGATTGTATCAGTAAGCTTAGAATGCTAATAAATACTTATGTGTGCGAAAAGTACGTAATTGAGATACTTTCTTGATAACCTAATTTAGTATTTCTGTCATTTAGATTTGCCTGTCATCCTCTCAAGACAAGGGCTACTTTAGTCAATCCTATGACCTATTTAAACAATAGAACTGTAATTCAGTTAGTTTTGGTTTTTCCACTCCTTACAGCAGGGTAAATATGGTCAAAGTGTTTGACTAATTCACTGCTTCCCAGAGTGCTGAAGCAGTGTTATCTGTTGAGCCCTGTATTTAATTAGATAAAGACTAAGGTTTTGCAAAATAATTCATTTAAAGGAAACAAACCAATTATCCTCAGATTTCTATGCTGTAGGAACCTCTGCTGGTTCCTAAAATACATCTGTAGATGTGCTATTTAGTCAAGAGAGAATATAATAGAATCATAGAACGATTTGGGTTGGAAGGGACCTTAAAGATCATCCAGTTCCAACCCCCTGCCATGGGCAGGGACACCTTCCACTACACCAGGTTGCTCAGAGCCCCATCCAACCTGGCCTTGGACACTTCCAGGGATGGGGCAGCCACAGCTTCTCTGGGCAACCTGTGCCAGGGCCTCACCACCCTCACAGGGAAGAATTTCTTCCTGATATCTACTCTAAACTTTTAGTTTGAATCCATTTCCTGTGTTAGAGAAATAGATGTTTCATTCAGGGATGTGATCTTGTCCTCTATTTTCAATGAGCCATTTCTTTCTGGGGAATCTGCACGCTGGGATGTAATTCTCCATATGGAAAAGACAAGCAATCCTTCTGGTAGGAGAGAAGCGTCCCATCTGAATTCTTGGTGCAGTGTATAAGGGAGAAAAAGGGCAAGTGAATGTCTCTGAGGGTGAAATGGGTATATGGAAAATGAGTGATAAAGAGAGCTGGGTTTTTACTGCTGGAATCCTTTCAGCTTGCTGCTGACTGCCTCCTATTGCATTTCCTGTGTGTGCATCCAGCTTTTAGGAAACACAGGCTTCCTCTGCTTGTCTGAAACCCCTGTGTCTTCAGTGATAGGGATGTGTGAAAATGAGAGTTTACTTCATTCCACTAGATCTGTGTGGGGGAACAAGCTTCCCCTTGTTCTCTTTAAATCAGGCTGGGCAAGAAGTAATGAAATCTATTTGTGTCAGCTAAGGCTGGTAAATACTTTCCAGATGCAGATCTGTTTGAGGGGATTAAAAAAAGTACCTTTTCTAAGTCACTGTTCAGAAAAGAGGCTTGCTTTGCTAGTGCACATGAACTGTTGAGGTTTGGTGAGTGGTTTTGGACCCAGTTGCCTGAGGGAATGGAGGAATAAGGTCTGTGTAATGAGCCACATGCTGCTCTCTTTATTTATGAAACCCACCCTGCCCTCCAAATTTGTTCAACTCTAATCAGATGGAAGGTAGAAGTCCTAAAAATTACATTCCTACAAGTCATGGGAGAACTGGTGCCTGGGCAGAGTAGAGACCTAAGTTGGTGCACTCGTTGAGGGAGAAGACTGATATTTGGTGTAGAGAGTCCTCATAGAAGAGAGATCTGCAGGGCACAAGGGCATGGAAAGCTGCAGTTGCAGTTTTGCCTTAACTAGACGCAGGGTAACACAGCTATGGGGAATAAAACAATAAAATTTGCTTTTTGTTTGTTTGCTTGTTATCTAGCATTGCATAGGCAGACTTTTCTCTTTAAGAAAGCAAAAACTGAAACAGGGAAAATGAAAGACAGTGTGACCTGAATTCATTCATTAAAAAAAAACTTGCCAAGAAATAGAGCCATCCAGGGTCCACCTGTTAGCTTTATTAGAATATCTCAGAACATGAAGGAGGCAAAACTTGAATAGGATAAAATCCAAACTAGCTGAAGCAAAATAAAAGAGGAAACAAATTAGAAAAAAAGTTATCAGTTTACAAGGCAAAACCAATTGCTTAGTAATGTTAGATTTCAGCAAAGTTAATTTGTGACCTGTGCATTGTGATGCAGTTGTGCCCATAGATTGTGACCTGCTGGAGTGGCTGTTCAGGTGCTTTCCTTGGTACCAGTGTATTTAACCACTTTCAGCAGGACAAGAAAATGATGAGGACAGTATAATCTGTTACCTGAGACCTTTGGAGAGTGTTCAGTGCTGCCTTTCCCACTGTTTTTCTTTGCTCTGGCCAGTACTTCTGACTGTTGGTTTGTGGGTTCTTTTTTTTTCTGATGTCCCACTGTTTTTTCCAGTTTGCCAAACAGGCTGATTAAAAATGTCAGTGCGTTGTATTTGAGATGTATCTTACCTTGATGGCAGTTATGGCTTCTGATTTGGGTATTGAGCACACTGCTTACTATGAGAGCCTTTTGCGCTTCAAAACTTCCATTTTGAGCTTGCTTTGGTCTTAGAATTGTTTTTTACTACTTTTGCTGGACAGCATGCTTGAGATTAATAGATTTTTTTGACACTGGCAGTTCTTTAAAGTTTTTCTTGTTTTCCTGAGATTCCTTACTGATATAAATATATCTGTGATTCATTGCCTTAAAGCATTGGCTTATGATTTTTTTTGAGTTAACCCTTTAGAAAGAAAAGTTCCTCTGGTTTGTGGGAGGAGATTTTTCTGCCCCACTGGTGATTTTGCAGGAAATACTTTGTTTCCTGTGGCTGTATTGTGAGGACACCTGTCAGGAGCCCAGTCTGTGCAGATAACTCTCAGAGGTGGAATGGTTGTGGAAGTCTTGAGAGCAATTAGATGAAGCTGGATATGATCTGTCAGAGAAGAGTAAATAAATGGCAAGCTGTAATGATTTTGTGGGAAATATCCCTCTCTTTAAATTTAGAAAGACAACATAAACTTAGGGAACAAAGAAACAAGGAAGAATTTATTCAACGCATTGGGTCTTTCTCACACCGAGTTTCCGGGGAAAAAGACACCTTTGGTTTAAATTCCACGCATTTTATAGTTTCACAAAATCCCACCCTTTTCAGATAAGTTTTAATGTATTCATCTTTACCTAAAAAGGTTTCTTTTCTCTGAAAAGGGGCTTTCCCTTTTTCCCAATTGACTGCAAGCCATCCCCTGTCAAAGGTGATGGATCTTCCTTTGTCCTTAGCCCAAAGAGAAAAGGAACCTTGGGTATAAAATGGCCCTAAAAGATTGAATTTTTAAGAATTTTCTCATTTCCCTTATCCCGCCAAAAGAGACCCTGATACCCAAGTTCAGCTCTTGGAACTTGGATATCTTACAACTTCACGATATATCTGTTTATAAAAAACCCATATTTTTATTTCTCAGAATTTCACTCACAGGATTCTGGCTTTGGAACAAATTACTTTAAAGCTGATGATGTGTAGCTGACATGGCAAGCAGGAATCATATCTTTTGAACAAGTGGTAGGTCCTGGCCTACTGAAAATCCAGAAGAGGATCAGACTGACAGGCCTCTCAAAGCAATGCAGTTAGAAACTGAATTGGTTCATCGACCATCACTCCAATTAAATGAAGAGGCCATTGCTTCTAAGTTTGATTAATGTTTTTTTCTACTTTCAAGATGTCATTTGCATAAAAGGCTGTAATTACTCAGCATTAAAAGAAACTGTTTGTGACATCAGTGTGTGACACAGGCTTGTGAAACCAGGCCCTGCTATAAGTTCATGGATACATCTCTAGGACAGGCCTCAGTCTCCTTCTCGACTCGTGAAAGACAGACATCCCAGTCATCCCAACAGAAAAACACACATCTGTTTCTGTTACTTTAAGACTCTGTCCCACTCATTGGAAGCTGTTTGCACTAAAGAATGGATCTCTGAACTCTGCCAGGATGTTGAGGAAGCAGCTTTAGTAGGGGTAAGGCAGGTGTGTAGATGGAGACTTAGAATAGACATTCTTGAGTTAAGGCACATGTCTTAACCAGGGCTGGTTCAGAGATCTGAAGCTGCAAATTATTAAATTGCTCTCCAAAAATTCCCAAGGTTGTCTCATGGACTGAAAATCTAGAAATAATGAAGTGATAAACAAAAATCCTGCTGTTACATTCCCATGTTCACTGGAAAGCCTTCTGAGGTTATTTATATCAGTATCAGGAAAAGCAACAGAATAGTAAAATGTAGGTATTATCTCAAGCCAGTGATCAGAATTCTCCATCAAACAATTCTGGAATCTTCTGTAAATATGTCAGATTTAGCAGATATTGCTTCTCTGGGAATTGTTTATTCCCACTGCATTTGTGACTTTATTCAGAAGGCACAATTTCAGCATCTGTCTTTGAAAGGACTGAGAAGCAGAGGAGTCTTGAGAAATGGCTAAACCAGCTCTTTGGAGGCCATGGGTGTCCCTTCACAATCTCTTTGCCTGGGGGTCCTATTCCCATGACTCACAAAGCTTATCTACACTAAGTATTGCAAATATTTCAAAAAACAATTTTAGTAGATGTGAAAGTGGGATTAGAAGTGACTTCCTGGGCTGCTTGTATTCATCCTGAGGAAGACTAGTGCCATCTGCAGAACAACTCACCCTAATGTCATTATTGAACTGAAGCTTTACCTGGATGTAGACTTGTTTTCAGATAGGTATGTTTCATAATGTTTGTGTGAACATTCTGGGACACGATGGTTAGGAGAACCTGTGCAAATTAAGGTTTTAAAAAAAAAACAGGAGAGATCTTCAGTTTCATTTCTGGCTAAGCCATTTTGATTTTGAGGACACTAAATATTGGCTTCCTTGTGCTTTGTTGTGTGGGAGTAGATCTGTGCTATGTCAAACACTGGGAGTGGGACAGGTATATCGTAGATGTTGCCTGACATGGATAAATAGTATAAACAGAAAAAATAAACCACTGAGAATTGCATGGGCACGTGAATGCTTGAGAGATGCCATCCTAGCTCTTGCTCCGGTTTTCTAAATGAGCCCAAAATCGAGGTTACTGAAACTTGAAAAGTTTTCATTGAAACATCATGATTCCTTCTCTCCATGGTTGCAGAGAGTTGGAAAAAACTGCATGTGGGAAGATGCAATAAGAGAGACAGAAATGCACAGTGCGGTGGGGAATCTGAGAAACAGTGCTATAAAGTGTTGAAGTGGAATCTCCTCATCAGCTCTCTGGGCTTGCATTCCAAAATTCTCTGAAGGTTGCTAATGCTTGCTGTGGCATCTTTATGTTTAGGTTTTATGGTTGAGGCCTTTCATTCGTACCTGGTGGAGTGCATTTGATGTTACCCTGTATGCCTGCAAGGGTGAAGTACAACTGTAAACTCTCCCTAAAGCTTTCCTATGAGTGGGAGTAGACCAGCTTTACCTGAACAGTCGGCTGGTTCAGCCCAGCTAGACTCGAAAAATCATTTAAACTTGTCCTGTGCACTTTATGATTACACTTGTGAAAAGAGAAATCATTTGCTAATTGCCATAATGAAAGAAAATCTTGTTGTCTTGCTGCATGTGCAAGCTCCTTGAACTTCTGTGTATAGTTGTTACTCTAGATCACCAGCATATGTGACTCTGATCTTTAATGTCCTCTATTGTCCTGTTTCCACAGAGGCTATTCTGTAAGAAACTCTTCCTCTCTCATTTTCCAGCAGTGACTGAGGGGAGAGGTCACCAAACAAGATTCTAGGAACCAAAAGGTGTTGGTTTCTTTTTCTGTGTCCCAATTTCTTTTTCCAAAAGATCTTCAGCTGACATCTCTGCTCTTTTAATTTTTGTTTCTGGCATGACTCATCTGAGTGAAAATATGGTCAAAACAATGACTGTGGATGTGAATGTGCACGTGCACGTTTTTGTTTCTTTCAGACCACAGTTAAATTTTTCAAAAGGGTAGTCTTTTGAGTTGAGTGCAGGACACTCCTCCCAGAGGACAGTAGTGATGGAAGATGACTGGGGGATAATTCCTGGCTTTTTTTCCAGGAAGTACTTTGCTTCACTTGGCTGCCTTCTTGAGAGCTGAATAAATATAATATGCAGAGGCTGAAATCATGAAGGTAATTTTATTTTGCCAATAAACACCATCCTGTGCTCCAGAGAGCTTGCTAGTACTTCCTTGTGCTTCTCTACAGCAATGCTGGTACTTGCTCACTTTTATTCCCACCAGTTAATATCTGGCATCTTGCTTTTCTGTTCTGCTCCTCCTTCCCTCTGCTTGCTCCTGTTCGTTCCTGCTATGACAGCCCGGTGTGACAGTCTCTTTTCATTCACAGCCTCCTCGGTGGCAGGAACGGTGGCATCTTGTGAAGAAGTTCAGGCGAAGGTGTCGCTACAGCTTGGCTTCAACTCCAGCAGAGTGGACAGCTTCAACTCCAGCAGAGTGGAGTGCTTCCCGAGCCTCCCTGGCCCTGCTCCCATCCGCAGGGCCACCAACCTGTCCTTCAACCCCCACAGCCCTGCTGTTTCCATGGTGCTGGACACTCCCAACAGTGAATGCTACTTGTCCAGTCAGGAAAATGGCTCCAGGGAGGCCTTCACTTACAACATCCAGAATCAAGGGTAGGAACAGATGAGAAGGGAAATGAAAAAAGCAAAGCCTGGGAGAAACCTTGCGAGGGTGAATGTTGGACATGGGACAAGGAATTAGGTGGGAGCATAAGTGAAAAGTGAGGTGCAGGAGTGACAGTATCTTTTAAATGAAGCATGAAAAGCTGCATGATGTGCATAGTGGGACAGGGCACCTGCTGTGAGACAAGTGATACCTCTGGTCAGAATGCTTCCAGAATTGCATACCTGTCAAGCGAAAGAGAGGATGTTTCAGTCTTTGGGATGTGCTTTGGAGAGTGGAAAGATAATCCCCACTAATGCCCATTGGTGAAGAATCCTGCTGTGAAACCACTTGGCTCAAGTGGTTTCTGTTGCCCTTGTCCTGGCATCTGGGAGGAGGGGTGGGAGTCAGATCAGGGTTGGCAATAACGCAGTTGTTTACTGTATGGGTTGCTGTAGCTGTTGACCCTACTTTAATCTCTGGATTGCCTCTCCTTGCTCTCTGCAGCTTTAGTCTACCACCCTCCTGCCATTACCCTGAGCAGCTGGAGACTGCAGGGAACCCAGAGACCATGTACTGCCAGTACAGCAGCCAGGGGGGAATTTACCAGCTGTCCCAACATTCCCAGCAGCACCAGCTCTCCCAGTTCTGCCAACTGCCAGATCATCTGGCCACCAATTTGCTCTCCAGTGACCACCTCCCTCCTCCAACACCCCCTGAGTCCAATTCAGCTTTCCTGGCCTTACCTGGTAACACTGGAGCAGTAACCTATGAAGCCACACAAGGCTATGGACAAAACCACATGGGAGGACAGCTCGTGCCGCAGCAGTCAAGTGGAAACTCAGGTAAATTTCTGAAATATTTTGTCATCCTGCATCTCTGGAGTAACTAAACTGTACCCTGAAACACTCAGGATGATCAGTGGTTTTACTGGTGGCTGTGACAGAAAGTAGAAACGTGCACATGCATGCACAAATATATATATATATATATATATATATATGGGCCCATCTATTTTTCTAATTTCCTTGTATGCTTGGGTTTTTTTAAAGTGCTGAGTGACCCATTCATTTGAATCAAAAGTTACTACACAGGTTGCACATGTCAGAAAGAGCATTAAATGTGAATGTGTCAGGTAGTGCAGTGGTTTTTCTCTGGACTGGAGAACTAACTTTTGCAGGAGTGTACTGTTGTGCGAGTGAACATGCCTTTGGTATATGTGGGTGGGAATCAAGGGTGCAAAATGGAAAAGGTGCCACAGCAAGTGGAATAGTTGGAGGTAGAAAGAAAAACAGGCTTCTCACTCTGTTGGGATTCTGCAGAAACCAGTTTGAAGTTTCATATCTTGGGGAAGTGCAAAAGAAGAGAGAGACAGAAGCCAGCAGAGTATGCATATAGAGTCTTTCTTTTTCTTCCTCTGGTTTAAATTTGCAACAGATTAAGGCACTTCTGCATAATTTTCTGAAAAGTAACTAGGTGAAACTGGCACTGTTGTTCTCCTTGTTTTGTGTCCAGGCTTTGTATTTTGAAGTTATTCAAACCCAAGTATAATCAAATGATAAACCATTGCAGTTAGTTTATTTGGACTGTCAGGTTTGTTGAATTAAGCTCACAGTCCAAAAACTACATGTCTTGTCTTATCACATAAGAGAATAGTCTCGGACCACAGATGCTGCTGCTCTTTTTGTACCAGACTTGTGGACCTTGTTAGGGAGGGAAGTCTGACTCACAGAAGGCTGCAAGCTGGCTCTTGTTCCCATTATTCCTGCTGACATTGTCCAGGCCAGGTTGGCAGCACCTGTGCTATCTACCACACTTGGCCTGTCTCCCCTCTCTGGTTTCAAGGCATAATTATTCTTTTCAGTGGTTTTTCAGTCTGAAGTGCCGGAAGTAATGAGAGGGCTGTGCCCCAGTGCACCAAATTAACATTTTTATAGTGTGATGCCAAAGTGTGTGTTGCATTCTTTGGGGCACATTGTGTGAGCATAAGGGGTGTGTAAAGGTGCAGGCTGATAAAGTTCAAAGATTGTTGAAGGAACAGAGGCAGAGTTGATATTCTCTTACTCTGTCCAGAGCACAATCAGCAGTGTGGCTGTTCTGTTCAAGGAAGGGATCCTACAGCTGTTATGACCAAGTTCACAGAATCATGGAATGGTTTGGGTTGGAAGGGACCTTAAGGATCATCCAGTTTCAACCCCCTGCCATGGGAAGGAACACCTTCCACTATGCCAGGTTGTTCAAAGCCCCATCCAACCTGGCCTTGGACACTTCCAGGGATGGGGCAGCCACAGCTTTTCTGGGCAACCTGCCTCACTACGCTCACAGGGAAGAATTTCTTCCTAAAAAGGTTCCAGGTTCCCAAAGTGCAGTGGGCAGGGAACCAGTCTGTCAGTGCAGACACACCTGTGAGTCTTACTTCACCGAGTAAGCAAGTGAACAGCTTAGTTGGATTATAGATATTACTTAACAATACATTCCTGCTTCCAGCTTCTATAAATGAAAGTGAAGATCAAACATTCAGGTTATGCTTGACAGAGTTGGAACCTCTTGGAAAATAGGAGTGGAGAAAAAAAATTGGGGAGTGGGTGTCTCTAATATCATTACATACTCTCAGGATCAGTGCTGAGTGATATCGTGATTTCTTTTTACATTATAACAATGCTATGAACTTGCAAGATTTTTCCTCCTAAGAACTACCTTTTGGATAAAAACACTGCAGTGTAAACAGCAAAGTGATCCTTTATCTATATGTGGTGTCTGCTCTACTGCAGTGACCACCAGAGCATGGCTGCAATGCTGTTTGCACTGAGCATAGACATGCTGCTGTTATTTTCATTATTCTGTCTTTCCTTTGTTTCTTTTCCCTCAGCAGAGATCACTGCCTATCAGGCTGTCCCCTGGAGTGATTTCTACATGCAGGGAGCTCAATTCTCAAATCAGCTGCACTCCCAAATGCCATTTTTTAGCGCAGCAGAAGAACAGAACTTCACAGAGCCCTCTCTTCTTCAAGTGCCCAGTGGAACAGCACTGGGATCCACATCACAGGCTGGAAAGCAAAAGGGAGTCACACCAGACCAGAGTTCAAACCAGAGCCACCAAACAGAGCCAGAGTTGGCATGGCCATGGCTCGCCTAAAGAGAGATGATGTAGAGTGTTGTAACAAGAAAGGAGACACCACTGTTGGTAACTGAAAGGCCAGCTGATTATTTTTTTTGGGGGAAAAGGAAAGTTCCAAGACAGCAGTAGCTCCTCTGAATGCAGGATCAAAACTGTGGCATGAATGGGAATGGAGCTTCCTTTTTTCTGGTCTGCCATCCGAGGCTGGTCCCGTTATCCTGTACCTGGTTCTTAGATTCATCTGTTCATAGAAATGGGGACTTAGAAGTCAGTAAAATAGATGCCAAAGTTCTGTCCTCTCTCAGACAACATCTGTTGTGAGCTGAATGGCTGCACAGGACTGACAATTTCTAAGATTTCCAGAGGTATAAACACCTCTCTTCAAGGCAGAACTTATTCAGCACGAGAGGGGAAAAGGGAAGAGAAGAGAGAGCTTTCTGTCTGGATTTCCATTTCCAGGCTTTTTTTTTTTTTTTTTGGAAACAAGATTACCCTACTTTCAATGGTTGAAAGGTGTCATATGCCTTAAATATTCTTTGGACGTGTATGGGGGTATATATGTGTCTAATTTTGAAATACAAGACGTTTGAAAAATCCAAAATATTTTGTGTCATGTTGTTACGACCCACCCTAGAAAAAGGGGAGTGGGGGTATATTAGGGAGGGGTTCAAACATAGTGAAATCTTGAAACCATGACACTGTTGCAAGCTCAATAAAACTGATATTTATTACCGAGAGGTGGCCAACAAAATGAACAAACCCAAAAGGGAGAAAGGAGGAGAGAAATAAGCCCCCAGCACGACCTCCTCAGTTACCCAGCTGTTGCCCATAAAGTTATCTTACCAACCTAACATACCTATAATTACCCGTAGCAGAAACTGCATCCTTGGAGAGTCAGTAAGTTCACAAACTGGCAGGCGTCCCCGCCAAAGGCAACGTTGTCCTTGGTGTGAAACTAACTCCCCTCCAAGAAAGTACTGTCTGCTTTTATACAATTAACTGAGTGACCTCAACCTAGGCAGGAGTGGTCGTTACCGCCCAGCCAGAGGCCCTCAGTCTCACCTCCTTAGTTATGTAAGTGCATCTCTTCTGTGCACGCGTGGCTTTCCCTGCGCCTGCATACTGCACTCGAGGTGCCTTTTCCAAATGAATCTGGGGGCGTCCTTCATCATTATAGTCTTCACTTTCTCCTTCAAGCGACCTTGGAGGATGATTAGGCAATCACAGAACACCAATTAAATATAGTTTATACCAAAACTCCCTTCAAGGACAAAGTTCCTGTTTATCAGTCTTGCCTCCATGCTATAAAAGAATGTTTTATTCATTTTCACATTAACTATACCATTGAGTGCAAAACCATTTCTGCACTTAACTAGAATGTTACTGGTTCATCACAAGAAAATTGCAGGCATGATGTGAGCCAGAGCCCATAGGGAGGTCCACAAATATCAGTCCTTCATTTGCAGTCTTGCCAACCAGCTTCTCAATGTAAGACTTTTTTCTGCGAGGCCCAGCACCTCACATATTGTTATTTCACAATCACATATATTCTTGTGTAGACTCGTAAGCTGAAAGGTTTCTGTCATATGTTGATTCCAAATAATTCTTGCCACCTGCTGTAACACTACTGGGACTAAAAACATACAAATATGAGCACTGCAAAACAATCAGTGTCTGATTTAGAATCCGCAAACCACACTGTTCTGCCTGATCTCCACAAACATCACTGGTGTAACATAAACGGCACAGAAACTGATCGCTCTACACAGCGCTGTTACGACCCGCCCCAGGAAAGGGGAGGGGGTAACCCAGGTTTTTATCAATAATTCCCTTGGGGTGGATTAAAGTGAAACGACACTAAATAATCAGTGTCTGAAAACATATATTGGCAAAG